CAACAACTACTACTACTACTTCTACTACTACTCTGTGTGTGTGTGTGTGTGTGTGTGTGTGTGTGTGTGTGTGTGTGTGTGTGTGTGCGTGCGTAAGCGTGTGCGTGTATGCATTTATCATGCCGAGAGCGTTTTTGTGTGGAGATCAGTCTTTATCTTGTTTCAACTTGTTATCTTATCTCACTTTTCCCAAGAGAGGAACGAAACCTGCAAGCATGAGATCATCCTGTCGGGGAGCAACATGCCATACAGACTGTCGTACCAGATTTTGCCTCAGTATTTCACAGGGTGAGTACTGGGCGGTTGGAAGGGGGACCCCTGGTACTGGGAGGCCCTAGTTTATTTTTCCTCCTCTAATCTCTCTTTGTATTCCGCCCGCTTACATTATGACCTTATTGTGCTGCAAAACTTAAACGTATGATCTCTTTTGGACTCTGTTTTTTATGTTTGTCCTTTGTGTGTTTTATTGTGCGTCTGTGGGGAGGGGGGGGGGGTATGTAGACGTTTATACCATTCCATCCTTACATTAAATCAACAGGGGCTGAGAGGGATGCAACATACCAACAAAGAGACCGATGAACTCGACAAATTCTCCTCATTCGTAAACCAAACTTGGGTCCGCTATGTTCGACAGTGAAGGTCCTAACTACTACATCACAGGCGGCAGTGGTTTTTTTATTGTGTGGGTATCCTTTTTGAGCAAGACACATCGTCGCCTCAGAATCTCAGAGCTATATTTCTTCAGTAGCTAGTTTTTATTAAATTTGACCTCAAAGGCAGGGGCGAAGGCTGACTTGTTTGACAGGGTAATCAAAGTGAAACTGGATCAGATATGGCCTGTAGATATGACACAAGAATCTTACTCGAGGCGGCGACTCTGAGTTGTGAATGAAAACAAATCCGGAATTCATATTGTATGTTCAACTGCCAAAATAATCGGGAAAGTATCTTATTAAATATAAATTCCAACTAAAATTAAATTTAACTTTAGATGTGAATACATAAACACAAAGCAAAGAAGCAGAGACGTCAGTACTAGATCTATATGTTATAGATCTACCAGTGAATCTAACTCTTTGGTAGAACATGACAATTATCATTTTTAAAATTTTACATTTGCCTGTTTTTTTTAGCCTTTCGCGGCCCGGAGCTGGTGTCATAATCGAGGTCACGATCTGATTATAGGACGGTAAAAAGTCGAGGAAAAAAAGCAAGCACTTGCAACAGTGAAGAGATTGTTAGGAGTTAGTTCCCCTCACATTTGTGAGGTAGACTCGACCAGTGTTAGTTAGCTTACCTAATCAGTGCTTGAGATTGATTATAACTGTGACCCCAAAGGGGTGAACAGGGTATATGTGGCAATGAAACAGCTTAGACTGCTATGCACATGTTCCCTTCAACTCTATTGGTGGACATCTTCCAGCCTCACTTTAAGCTTACTTAATCAAAGCTTGCGACTGCTTATGGAGTGGCCCGAGAGGGGTGAGGAGGCTATTTCTGTGGCCGTGAAACCGTTTTGAATGTTAGGCATACTGTTCATTGTTGATTACGAACGTCTTTTGACATTTAATTTAAGAGGTTTACGTTTATGGATGAATTTGACAGCGACAATGTTTCAAAATTAGGAAGGGAAGCAGTGATTATTTGATTATATAGACGCTTCGCCCCTGCTCAAAGGTATTGCATTTGACCAAATGTCAAACAAAATCGAATGCAATTCCTTGAATACATTGGTAACAAACAATGATAATCTTACAATTTTGTTCGAGCAGATAGAACGTTTGGTTTCTGATATCAAGATCCTAATAACTTAAAACTGTCAAAAATGTCAGAACTTCGTAATTCTGAGGCAGCGACCTATCAGTAAGTAGTTCGACAGTGCCACTGGTAGTCGAAAGAGAGCTCTCGTGATCTAGAGGTACGGTGTTCGCCTCTCATTCCATAGGTTGTGGGTTTTCTTCTCTAAAACTTTCTCCTTTAACACCCTTTCCTGCTCTCTAAAGGCCCGGTTACACGTACCGATAAATTGTACAAAAACTGGGCGATCTTGCGATCATACGATAAATCTTTAGGTGTAACCACAAAATTGTACAAGATTTGGACGATTGAACGATGGTTTTGAGACTCGGTCGAGAAATCAAGCGCTGCTTGATATTTTGCGTGCGATCACGGTCACACTTGAGGGAGACGCGCTGTGACGTAGATTCACTTTGAAATTTGCCGCCGCGCAGAACTAAACTCAGGGCTGAAATTTTTAAAAATATTTATCGCAGGTAAAAACTGATTTCATATTCGGAATCAGCGTCTCAAAATAATGAATGTTGCTGGCGGAGAATCTGATTTGGTGCGTTATTATTTATGTTTTAGCAATGTTATTATTTAGTTCATCGTTAATGGTGAAGCTATGGATCAAGGTCTCTCGGTGCGTTGCACATCTGCAGTCAAGTCAAAGTCAAAGCTTCCAGTTCTACACACAACATGGTAAGCCTACAGTGTGGTCACCCTTTTCTAAAGTCACTTTGCGGCTATATCAAAATGTACAGGAAAGG